ATTACTATTATTATTGTTATTAATACTGCTATCATTGTTGTTGTTATTGTTGTAGTTATTATTATTGTTATTATTATCATGTTGTTGTAGTTATTATTATTGTTATTATTATCTCTTACTACGTATTATATAATATTTATAATTATTATTTGATGTACGCACACATATGTGAAACATCTCATTTATATAGATTTGAATTGAGAGTATTTAATTTAATTTTTAATCTAAATCAAACTTTATTTTCTCAACGCAATTAATAGATTAAAATACTGTTAGATCATAAATTTGATGATTTATGTGACATTAAAGACGGTTGACCACAGGAGTTAATGGAGCATTCAGAAGCTTTAATCTTAATTATTGTGACATTTTCTATGTGTTATTCGGCTTTTTAATGTGATTAAGGAAGATATTAATTGTAATTGACCAACCTTTATGAAAGATTCGAAATCATCATAACGGACGGCCAACCCGTCAATAACAGACCAAACAGTCTTGAGAGGTTTAATTACCATTCCTATAAATAGGATATCCCCCATTACCCGCACGGGTAGCTCAGTTGGTTCAGTGGTGGGAGATTTGGACCAAGTGACCAAGGTTCGAAACCCGCAGCGGCCGTGTGGAGGTCACAGAACCTGAAATAAGGTTGGGCCTCTGGTGCGCACGGGAAAAAGGCCTACCATCATTGGGCCGACTGAGTCACCGTGATTAACATCCTCCCAAAAATCCTGTCGGGTCGGGGTATGGGGGGCTGCTGGGGTGGGAGATTCCACCTTTTGGACCAAAGATATCCCCCATTGTAATGAGCAGTTTTTCATTTGAATAGTACACTGAACTTCACTCTTATTTGCTCACTTGTCATTGATGGATAGTCTACCCGGGGGTATATATCCGAAGGGTTATTTCGGGGAATGACTTAGAGAGAAGTCAGAGCAAACAAGTAAGAGAGAGAGTGTATATTCGATATGTATTCAGCGTGTTATCACTTTTCAGCGTGGTTACAAATGAGGGAAAGGGGTGCTATTTATAGCAGCAATAAATGCCGGGCAGGGACACGTGTCAAGCGCTCATTGGCCGAGGGGTCACCTCAACTGGTTGGCGCTGGCAACCGCATGTGGCCGCATTTAATGCGGCTGTTGGATGGGACGTCTGTGCAGGGTACGGTGATCTGTACGCATGTGAGGCGGATATCTTGTCGAGTGAGATGCCTTCGGTCATAGAGCAGTAGCCGAAGGCTCCTCCAACCGAGGGCACCTTGGTGCCGAGGGCTTACAGTACCGAGGGCTACTGTTTTCGCCGTTTTCTCCCAGTTTCTTAGTTTGCTAGGGGAACCCGCTCTGTGAGAATCTGGAGCCTTCGGCCAGGGGGCCGAAGGCACCCCTGGCGCGTTGCGCGGGCTGCTTGATACTCGGGGCGCTGTGATTCGGGCCTGTTGGGCCTTTTGGGCCTGTTGGGCCTTCGCTGGAGTAGTAGGAGTCTGTGGGCCGGGGGTTCCCGGGCCATATACTCCATCAGTCATCTTCTTCATTGTTCTTGTACGAGACCCATTTTTTATATAATTTTCTTTTGTAATTAGTTTTAGCTTATCAAATTATTGCTTAAACAATTTGGCATCCATCGTGGGGCATCGTACAAGAGAAAGATCAACCATGGCCGGAGTTAATCCTTTGTTGATTGAGTTTCACGAACAGCTAGAAACAGCAAAGAAGGAAATCCGGCGTGAGGTGGCGGAACGGATGACCTATCTTCAGTGAGAGAATGACATGCTTTGAGCCCAGGTACAATCAACAGTGTCAATAGCTTCAAATTTAAGAATAAACCAGAGGAGCGACGCAATGACCACCACTAAAAGGATGGATTTAGGGTCACTCCACCTGCAACGGGTCCGCCCACCACTACGACAAATCACGTCTCTCTCACGTTGGGCCTATCACCAACTGGAGACCCACAATCTATTGTCATCTCACATGTCATCCCCTATACACCTTTTTTCCCTGAGATGACTCTGGTCCCCAACATTCAAACTTGTTTCTTCCCGGAGTCCCTTCGAAGTAGATCCAAGGGGATAGGCATGACAACGACGACTACAGTCTCTCCTCCGACAGAGCCCTCTATTCCTCATACCAACTCGACCTGAAACTGACCAGATGGCCAGACCTACAATTTCAGCAGCAGGGCAATTTCAACAAGGCATGGCGGACCCAATGTCCATGATAATGGACGAGTTACGTCAGATGCAGGACAAGATCAACGGATTATTAGGGGTACCCCCACACTTGGACCAGGCGTCACAAGCATGTTATGCAGATTCTCGTTTGAGCCGACAAATCACAGATGTCAAGATCCCCATGAAGTTTGTCGTTCCGTCCATGAAGATGTTTGACGGAACCTCTGACCCATTAGAACATGTGACCCAGTACAAACAGGGGATGCTGGCAGTCTCAGTCAGACCCGAGCAACGGGAGACGTGCATGTGTCGAGCGTTTGGAGCGACGTTGACAGGACTGGCTCTGACATAGTTCATCAATTTACCGAATGAAGGTATTGGTTCATTTGCAGAGCTTGACCTATTCAACCAACAGTTTGCAAGTGACTTGTATTGAGTTGTGTAGAGACGGGACGAGTCCTTGAGAGATTACTTTCACCACTTCAATAAAGAGAAAGTGTTAATCCCAAGGTGTGACATACCAACGCCGGTCAAATCCTTCCAAAGATGTTTGCTTGAAGATTCAGAGCTATACAAAGAGTTGACCAAATACCCATGCTGAACCTTTGAAGACGTCCAGGCCAAGACATTGGTTTTCATCAGGTTAGAGGAAGATCAGAAATCTCGTTATCGCCTCGATGGCTATGACGGGGCGCAACAGAAGTCCAACCCGCCCAGGAAACACGATTATAGGATGGGGAAACCTTATGCAAAAATCGAGGACCGACCAGTTGCAAAGGTGACAAGCTGGCTAGAAGATCCGATTCTGCCACCTGTCATTCTTGATTACTGTTTAACGTAAGCACTTTAGGACTCATCAACTCATTGGAGAAGTTGGGGGAAAAGTATGATGGCCTAGGAAGTAAGACAAGCCCGTTGGACGATGAGATCCCAATAAATGGTGCGATTTTCACAACGACATCAGTCACAACACGGAGGACTATGTCGCGTTGAGGAAGGAAGTTGCCTACCTTTTGAAGAATGGCTACCTGAACGAAATAATGTCAGAACATATAAGTCCCTCCTATGACGAGATCGCAAGCCATCATTGGATGAGCCACGAAATTCGCGCCTTCGCCCCCTGTAAGGTAATTAATTTTATTAACGGTGGATCTAAATTGTGTGGACTAACCTATTCTGTAGCAAAAAGACACGCTGGGGAGTATTCTCGAGACAAGTCGATGCAGGTTTATAGGATTGAACGACGACAGGTTGACTGGAGGAATGTGTCAATCATGTTCAACGAGACTGTTACGCCGGATCAGAAGCGTGAAATTAATTTCTTCCATCTGTCTGCTGTCCAAAGCCTCCTCTGAACAAAACAGTCTGTGGCATAGGCGTCTCTCCCATATGAACTTCAAGAATCTTTCCATTCTATCAACAAGAAACTTGTGAAGGGGCTACCATTGCTAAAGTCTTCCGCTGACAACCATTGTAGTGCTTGCAAAATCGGCAAGATGACAAGAACCTCTCACAAGTCAAAACAAGTTTCATCCTCTTCTCAACCACTTCAACTAATACACATGGATCTGTGTGGATCGATGAGAATCCAAAGTATAAATGGTCACAAGTACACTCTTGTTATCGCTGCCACACCCAACCGCAGCCAAACCAACCCTCGTCCTCAACCAACCAACGACCAACTTCCTCCACCCAACACAAAAACCAAGCCTCTACCCCTATTATCTCTTGCCCGATCGAGCTAGATAGAACACTCTGAGACGCATCTTTTATAGATGTTGACCAAGGATGGAGTGGAAGTCCTGAAGTTGCTACTTCTGGTACATCTTTTTACTCAGGCAATCAGTCAGAACCTAGTTCGAAGCTAATGATAATGGGCAATCTTTGTGATCCTGGTTCAACGTCCAACTGTTACAATCTTAATGGAATTTTATAGAATTACTCTAATGTTCTTTCGTAGTTCCACACATCTTTGTATTGTGAATCAATTACTTAATAGCTAATCATTTAATGGGATGGTGGGTTAGGATGTGTTTAAGCAAATTTTTGATAAGCTAAAACTAGTTAAAATGGAAATTGTATATTCATCGGGTCTCGTACATGAGCGGTAATGAAAATGACCAGAACAAGAAAGATGTCAAGTAAGAAAAATAGAGTGGAATTTAGAATGTTGTTCGAATCAGGAGCCTCTTCCTTGCAATAAACTCGGTCCTATTTATAAAAGAGGTAGTTAATCCCCTTTTGCTCGTAATTGACGGTTTTGACCGTTACAATGACATTCAAAGTCATCATTATGTCGTCATTAATATCGGTCATCCCTTTTGAGTAACTTCTGCCTTAATTACATTAATAGCTATAATAATAATACATGCAAAACCGTTACAATAATTAGCTAGCATTAAACCTAATAAATGTGTCATTTATCGTCGTGGTCAAGTCTCTTGAATGTAGAATACACTGTCAAATTCCTGCACCAACAGAATGTGTTCTCACTTCTCGCAATAATTTAATATATATTGCATTGACCGGGTTTACCGGTTTTGACAAGGTTAACCCTTGACCCCGGTCATTTGTCCGGGTCACCTCCTGGTCCGTTTTTTACAACATAGATAACAACAACAGCAACAACAACAACAATAATAGTAATAATAATAATAATATAATAATAATAATAATAATAATAATAGTAATAATAATAGTAATAATAATAGTAATAACAATAACAATAACAATAACAATAACAATAGTAATAGTAATAGTAATAATAATAATAATAGTAATAATAATAATATTGAGAAAACTTTCTTATTCATATTGCTTTACATCAACAGGAGGGAAGGTCTATTTACGTTCAAGATTCAACATCCGATGCCTGAGGGGTCTTGCTGGATTTCTATTAGATTGATTGTAATCTGATAGAAATTCAGCATTTTAGGCCTTCTGAGCAGCAGGTTTTTTGTAAGTATATATGCATAATATTAGGCCTTCTTGATTCCTAATCGATAATCATCGCACCATTACTTGTTATTCATGCATGGCAAATTAAAATTCCACTTATTTTTCCTTCAAAATTTACTAATCTGCATTCATAGACATATGGTGAAATTCTTATGCATGCAAATATGCATCGTCGTTCCTCAATCCTCATTATAATCTTCTCTATCTTATAGTGAAATTCATTCATTGTGTATATGGTCCTTAAAACAACATTTCTTTTTTCTATTTTCAACGATCATCCTGTAGTTTTGTCTTGTTTATGTTTCTCCTAATGTGTGTTACAATGATAATTGTGGTTTAGTGCATGACAAGATTAATCTTTTAGATATTAAATGGGGGATTTTCCGCCCGGGTATGATACCGTTTCCAAGTGATCAAAATGACATTGTTTTGCTTACTTAGACATGGTTGTTTTGACTTCGATCCCATTCTCTTCGGTGTTGTTCAACTGGAGGCATATGTTCCATCTTGATTATTTAGATTCTTGATCTAAAACACATTTTTCTTTATGGAAAAAGGGGCAAATAAGCTCACGTACTAACCAAAAAAGGTCAAATAAGCCTTTATACAGAAGGCTCTGTGCGACTGTCGTCATTTTGGGTAGTTCCCAGTGAAATTGTTTGATGAAATTTTTTGAGACTCTTATTCATTAAGTCTAGTTTACTCATACCAAATTTCAGTTAACAATTCAATTGGGAAAACATTCAAATAAATTCTTGAAGATAACTGCGCTTTTAACTGCACAGTTATCTTCAAGAATTCATTTGAATGCCTTCTCGATTGAAGTTTTAGCTGAAATTTGGTATGAGTAAACTAGACTTAATGAATAATATGTTCACAAAATTGCATCAAAAATTTCCAGCAGGAACCGCCGCAAAAGACAACGGCCGGACATAGCCTCGTATGTAAGGGTTTATTTGACCTTTTTTGGTTAGTACGTGGGCTTATTTGCCTCTTTTGATTAACAACCAATTTGTGGAGCGTTCATGATTTGTGCTTGAATATGATTTGCATTTTCCTGCATTGTAGATCAATTTCCATAGCATTCTTTTCTTGGTTAATTTCCTTTAATAATCTGGTGACTAATTCAGGGTATATTAATTAATGAAGGTATTAGGTATAGCTTCCATTTTGATATTGAAGCTAGACTTGGTGCTGAGGATCTGACATTTGCTGTTAGTTGTTGGTACAATAAATCCAAGAACATGGATCAATTCTGTCAGATTGGGGAGGTTGTGGGGAGCATGAAGGCCTTAATGGTGTTGAAGCACGACATCATAATAAACACGAGGCAATGTTCCTTTCTCTTCGACATCTATGTTCAAGCATTCAACAAAATCTCTGATGAAATCAAACAACACTTAAGATTAGATGAGAGGGGCACAAAGTGGAAACCGCTCGAGCGTCCAATGAGAGAGCTATACAGGACTTTCAAGGAAGGTGAGTCGTATATAAAGAACTGCATTGACATCAAGAACCAGCTGGGGAAGGCTATTAGTCTCTATTCAAATAGAGATTGCGTCGAGCTTCACATTCACAACTTGCTCTCCTGTTATGTGGTGGTAATCGAGGCAATTGAAGCAGCTGCAGAAATCTCAGGTGGGCTCCATGAAGAAGATGTGCAGAAGAGGAGACTTGCACTAATGAACAAGTATGACACTGCCAAGTGCAATGACCCAATGCTTTTCCAATGGAAGTATGGGGACCAGTATTTAGTATCCCGAGAGATATGCAGCCGGTTGGAGTGCATTTGGAAAGAAGACAGATGGCTGCTTCTTGAGATGTTGAGAAAGAACCAGAGCAATAAGCTTGTGGAGAAACTGATCATGAAGTTAAGCGGAGGATTAGAGACTGGTATTATGCAATTACCAACTTCCCTATTGTTGGAAGCAAGCGATTATCACGTGAAACGACGGATAGGATCGGGCGGGAGCCATCTTAAGGAAATCCAATGGCTAGGAGAGAGTTTCGCGCTGAGGACGTTTTACGGAGACATTGAATTTCTGAGACCAGAAATCGCTATGGCTATGTCAATGTCTCACCCGAACGTGCTGCAATACCATTGTGGATTCTATGATGAATCAAGGAAAGAGGGGTTTCTTGTGATGGACTTGATGAGCAAGAGTTTGGACATTTTCATGAAGGAGAATTCCGGGCAAAGGAGGAGAATGTCCTTTTCTATCCCGATTGCAGTTGACATTATGCTTCAGGTTGCAAGAGGGATGGAGTACTTACATTCAAGAAGCCTTTTCCATGGTGAGTTGAATCCATCAAATATTCTTCTCAAACCAACAACCATCTCCGCCTCCTCATCATTGGAGAGTTATTACTTCCATGTAAAGCTAGCTGGCTTTGGTTTATCCCTTCTGAAAAGTCAGTATACTCACAGAAGCTGCCCGAGGGTAAGTGGAGTTGATCCGGTGGTTTGGTATGCACCAGAAGTTATGGCTGAGCTAAGCAGCGGCAACAGCAAAGGCAACGCGAAATACTCGGAGAAAGCTGATGTGTACAGCTTTGGTATGCTGTGTTTCCATATTCTGACAGGGAAAGCTCCATTTGAGGATGGGGTAGGCAGTGGGGAGATAGTGCGGCCTCTTCAAGGAGATAAAATGGTACACAGTTTGATGGCTGGGGAGCGGCCGCTCTTCCCACACCCATTCCCTAAATATCTCATGAACTTGATCAGGAAATGCTGGCAAACCAGCCCCAACACACGCCCTTGTTTTTCTTCCATTTGCAGGATTTTACGATACATGAAGAAGGTCCTCGTTATAAATCCTGAGCATGGTCAGCCTGGTTGTCCTCCTCCTCTTGTTGATTACTGTGACATTGAAGCTGGCTACTCCAATAAGTTTGCTGCCATGGATGGCATCACAGAATCTTTTCCTTCTGTATGTGAAATACCATTTCAGATGTTTGCTTATAAGCTTGTTGAGAAGGAGAAAACTTCAAGAAATGGTGTCTTTCCATTCACGCCTCAAGGGATGCCTGATGAAGAAGATGATCTCCATGTCATCATGCAAAATAATGGTGGAACTCGTCACAGAAGATTGGCTTGCTCGGAAGTTATGGACAGGAATGATCTGGGAATTTTTTCTGATCAAAGATCTGTTGTCTCAGAGATCCCACACTCAAAGTGCTTATCTTCAGCTGATCACATTTCACTTCTATCTGATGAAACTACCTCAGCTTTTGCAGATACTCCTGACTGGAGGCTACTATCTGGGATGCCGAATGATCATCCAAGTCCGCCTTTCGTTGAGACACGACGAAGGAAAAGCCATCATTCGATATCCACAACAAGCAGCAATGAGACTAAGTCGGAGAGAGGAATGTCATCAAAAACAAAAATCCAGTGGTTGGCAAATGATGTTTCTGGATCTACAGGGAAGAAGGATTTAACAGCTGAGGTTGCGAGAAAGAAGAACTGTTTGACCACTATTGACCCAAAACCTGCATCAGATCCTGATGATCATGAGGCAACAGAAAAGATATCATCAGCAGAAGCTGGGCATAAACCAAAATGTTATGGAGAGAATCCGAAACGAACAACAGGCGTTACGACGACGCCATTTCGTTCTGAATCGACAAGAAAGAAATTCTTAAGCAATATGAAAACCAAATTTAGATTAACCAAAATCCCAGAAAAGAAAATGCTCAGCTCAATAAACCATTCCTCATTTAATCCCGAGAATCCACAAAAAGCAACCACTCTAAAGCCAAGCAAATCGAAGCTCACACTAAAAAATGGTATATTTAACAATAGTTTGAAAAGCAAGCAAAATGAAGCAGGTAAACTGATAAGTTTCTTCCGCCCAATTTACATACACATTTCATGGCATTTCTTAGCAAAATGTACTTGTTGATTACTGCAGGCACGTCAAATTGTCAATCACCAGGAGCGTCACCTGCAAGGGTGATAAGAACAAATTCCTTGGGAAGATTATTTCAATCCACACTTTCTTCACCAGTACATCCATTGAAAGCATCATCACCAGCAAGAGCTACCCCCACGAGATCCTTTAGTTTATGTCCATCTCCAATCGTAAAAGGAAACAAACGCCGTTTTTGAGCCCATATAGACAGATGAATGTTGTCCGATGATGGAAGCACAAAGATCTCTTTTTATTTTAGACGTTGCCATATTTTTCCAGCACATTGGTATAGACTTTTATCACATCTGTAAGCGAGTGATAAAAGGACACAAATATGAAATGTACTATATTGAATTTTGAAGCAATGATTCGCTACAACAAAAGGAAATAATACACCTCTTGAAGTTTTGGTTTTGTTAATCCAGTTCTATTGTAATTTGATATTAGAACACAAGTAAAGGTAGGCTGACTAAATCTTCTACCACTTTTTATATATATAGGCATTGATACATCATTGCACTTTGAACAATGACTTAGATAGTAAGGCAATATATGATGGTGGAATACTGCGCAGTGCCCGTTTCCAATATGTTAGATTTTGTTTTTTCATAAAGTTAAGAATTAAGATAATTAACTGGTAATGAATTTAATAAAAAATTACTTAGAGAAAGTTTACAGTTTATTAAAAGTTTATATAAAAGAATGCCTTTGGTCATATACAGGGGTCAAAACATAAGGAATCAACTCACATTTGGCCATTCACATTCATTGCAGCAAAAGATGTTCATCTTAATCCATATATAGAGAAGAGTTCTAGAAAGAAAACCTCAGATTAATAGCTATAGAGCATATGTAGAAAGAGAGGAAGGTTCAAAGTAAGGATTATCTTAGGTGATGCACAAGTACAACGTTTGAACCCGGCCCCAAAGGACCAAACCATTTGAGGAATTTATGGCTTCGCCTAGTTCTCGTTGGCTCCTTAGTTAGTATTAACGATTTGATGATTGTTAAAATCCTTTGTATACATGGGAAGTACCTGAATGGAGCCATCAACAATACCAAAAAGGCCTTGAAAGACAAGGAACAACTCAAACTGAGTTTGTCTAGTGAGGTAGTCTTCAACAGCTTTGAGTTTAACTTTGACAATCTGGCAAACATTAGCAATCCCATGGGAAAATGTTTGAGCTAAGGACGCCATAGGGGAGACGAACAACAAATTGTCGTATGTGGGCCGAGTAGTACCCGGAAGACCAATGAACGAAGATCCGTAGAAGGGAGAGCTAAACTGCAGCAGAAGACGATGAACGACCGGAGAAGCAGCCGGCCCAACTTGCTGCCACCGGAACTGAGGCGGCAGAACTTTATAAGTTTAATAAACTTATTATGAATTCACAGAATCACAAGACCTCATATATTTTTTGCTAAATATATGATTTTATATATTTTTAGATGTCAATAAACTTACTTCCTATTATTTGTCACTAAATCAGAATAAGTAATAGATTTTCCAGAATTTTGAATTCACATTTAGCTTATATTATGAATTCACATTTAACTTATATTATTACATGTTCTGGAAACTCGAGACACATAATTAACCCTTACCAATCCTATAAGTCGGAGGACAAAATTATATGGGCATGGGAGGAGAAGCTATTATAGATTACTCTGAATACTTGAGTGGAGTGGACCCAAGGTGAAGACTCTATTTTGGCAGTTGTATACCAGAAATCTTCCAAGTGTCAGGTTGGAATGAAGTCAATTCCCCGTCTGTTTATTTCATGCCTGCTGGCCGTGGGGGTTTGGGAAACGAAAGGTGGATTGTTGCAAATGTTTCTGGGGTTGCTGGAGTATCTGGCAAGTTCAAAATAGGTGTATGTCTAATAATGAAGTGGTTACGGTTGAAAAGGTTGTTATAGTGGCTGATTCGTTTTTGAAGGGCTCGAAGGAAGCTCAAGGGAGAGGAGCACTGTGGAAGAAATCGAAGCATGGAAGACTTAATGAACATAGATGTGGCGATAGGAATGTATTCTCCTGTGGAGGCGATCACTGTCGCTTCGGCGGCGGCCCAGACACCTGTCTGGTAAGAGTAAGTCACCATTCTGAAAGTACGCCTTTCTGATCGTGCATTGATAAGGGTGAAAGTCAAACTCATGCAGATTTTAAAGAACGGGGATAGTATAATATTTGAGAAGTTATAATTTTTTTGTTTTTATGAATACTTTAACAAAGACTGTTTTCACAGTTTTTTATATTATAAATTATTTCCTATACAAATATATAATTGGACAAAGTTGAACTTGGTTGATCAAAAAATTCAAAGATGACAAAATTTTAAGGGACGAAAGGAGTATAAGATACCGAGAATTTTGTATGGGAACTTTCAGAGTAAAAATGTTTATGAATTTCAAAATGAGAAAATTGTTGTTAGTAAGACTAAATCATACTCCGTACAAAGTTTACAAGATTTTTAGTACTGGTGTTATTGATAGGCATTAATTTTTAGTGCGCAACTTTGCATTTCTATATTTAGTTGTGATGTATTTTTACTTTTGTTGTGATAGTTTGTAATTGTTAGTTTGAATTTGATTGTAATCTTTTTTCTAGCATTTTATTATTTGTTATAAGTAGTAGCTAGTTGGGCTATAAGTTTAGGATAGGTTTGGAAGCAAAAAAGATGAAGAAACCTGAGTTTTGTGCAAAACTCGGTCGGGTATGGCCTTAACCGGCCGGATATGAAGTGAAAGAGGAATTGTTTCAAAACTAGCAAATACCCGGTCGGGTATTTCCTATACCCGGTCGGGTATGAAGTGATTTCGGGCAAACGAACGTGCAGAAGAACACAAGAACATGGGGAAAAGATTTGATTTGACAAATACCCGGTCGGGTATGGCAAATACCGGCCGGGTATTCGGCTATAGGTCTTGAAAACACATATAAATAACCCCATTTTCCTTCTATTTTTCTAGCAATGTTTAGTCTCCAAATGAGGACCTAAACTTCCATTTCTTGGTTTTGCTCTTGAAGCTTGTTGATTATTAAAGTTGTGAGTTATTTTCTTAACTCCTCTCCTTGAATATTAATTCTTCCCTTAATCTCATTTCTATATTAATGTTGGGGTGTTGCTAAGTGACGAGTAGTTAACGCTTCAACATTAATTATTATTAGAAACGATCAACGAACCGATGGTTAATCGTTGATGGTTTCACAAGTAAGTAACTTCGGTTTATTAATGCACGGTCGTGGTTAATAAACTTAAGAGGGATTAATTTTGTTGGTTAAACCGAAACCGTTGTGTTGAGGTTATCAATCTCAATTGATTTCATCAAGGAGTTAGAAAGATTAAATGCTACTATTAAATCGGTATAAGGCGTTGTTCTATATTTGATTAATAGTAAGGGTTATTAATGAACGATCGTTGTTAATAACTACCTTCGATGAATTGGAGATACTCCTCGATTGAGTATTCGAGAGGGGATAAGTTATAGATATAACAAGGATCGACTAAATATATCAACAAGTGGAAAGTAGCAAAGCCAGGTTTTTTTTTGAATTAAATCACATATAAGTCGTTCAACTTAGTGTTTAATTAAATTAAATCACTCAATCCCCAAACCCCCTTTTTATTTACTATTTTATAAAAAAGAGAATTATTCCTTTCTCTATGGATACGAACTCTACTACGCTATACTACGGTATTAGCCCTTAGTAGTGAATTTATTTTGGCACACTACGACAAAGTGTTCGTCAGTTATGTTCATTTTAAAATGTTATATCATCAATACCGACAAAACTCAATGCACCTGATAGGAGCTTGCTCACATAATTTTAATGCTAAATAATAGAAAACACAATACTCAATAAAGATGTCTTGATGCTTAGACGTGCTTTTGAAATTTTTGTATTTAATTAAAAGTTCTCATGCTCAATATACATAGTCTCAGTGCTCAATGGTCGAGAATACGATATTCAATAAAGAAATTTTGATACTTAAATGCGGTTTTCAAATTTTGTAGAGAATACGATATTCCAAGAAATTTAGAACTCAATTTGAGTGTTCTAATGCTCAATACACATCATAACGATGTTCAATAGTAGAGAACATGATGCTTAATGAAAACAATTTTAAATGTTTTCGTTGTTATTTTTTATTTAATATTCAAATATTTTGTAATATTGTTGAGATATTTCTTTCCAGCATTTTTTTATAAAATAAATCAGCAAACATAGCTATCTTTACTAATTTAAACTGTAATATATTTATTACATGTATATATTGAAATGAGCTTTATGTTATGTCTACTGAGTATAACGTTTAAAAAAATGAGTATTAGTATTAAATTATAAAATTAACACAATATATAAATACTTTAGATGATAATAAATCATAATCAAGTTAAATGAATAAGTTGATTTGTCGTATATATATTACATGTATGATTGATATATGTGGAGTCTATTAAATGAGTTTTATGTTATTCTAAAATGAGTATAGTAGTGTTAAAAATAAATGTGTATGATGGAACATTATAAAACGAGCACAATAACTTCTCTAAGTCAAGATCGATGAGTTCTAAATTATGTTTCAAATAAAATTATTATATTTCTCATTGCTAAATCTATTGATAATTCAATAAAAAATTATAGAAACGAATTCATGTTATACTGAAATGAGTGTAGTGTTTAAAAGAAATGAGCATTACATTACGTTTTATCAATATTTCTCATGCATTATAAAATAAAAGTTACTAATATTTGAGTAATAGGAGGTGTTTGGTTAACAACCTATCAACCATTTTTGGCTGATTTGACTGTTTTTGGCTTTTCAACCAGTTAATGAAAGTGTTTGGTTAGTTAGCATTTTCAATTGGCGTTTTGCCCAAACAACCAAAATATGGAAACGCCAACCGTTGTAGCGTTTACAATCGGTTGTTTCACAACTTTCCTATGTTGCCCATGTATTTTACTGTATGTGGCTCCTACGAGAGAGAGAAATCTGAGCGAAAGAAGCCTTCTCTTACATTTTTTGCTCCTTCAAGTTTAGCTATCGGTGGATTCCGTGCACTACGATATTGCTTTTTGACCAGCTAATTTTGCCTACTGATTTTCAAGAAACCAAGGATGATTTAACCAGATGATAAGCTTTGAGAAGACATTTGAGTCAAGTTAGTCAAACTCAAAAGCACAACCAATGATATTTTTTTTGAAAATAAGTAAAGAATGAAGACGACCATGAACCAGAAGCTTCCTTTCTATAGAAGATTCAAGATTGTATTGATAAGAATGAGATGACCATGTTTAAAATAATTATTACGTAATAGGATACATTGTTTTAAATAAAAAGGGGTTAAGAATTTGTACTATTTATATCAATAAAAAATAATTGATGTCTTTAAATGTCATTTAACAAGTTATCAGCTGATTATAAACAATCATTTAACCAAACACCATACTACAAACAGCTAACCTTATCTGCTAATCAAAACAGCTAACTGAATCTGCTGTTATCAATCCGCTAACGCAACCGGCCAACAGCTAACAACCAACGGCTAATTGCCAAACACCCCCATAATCCTAGTTACTTTAGGATTGTTTGTGATCGAAGAATATATACTACTTTTATGAATTAATGAAATGAGTTTTATGTTGTACCCAAATGAGTATAATATTCATAAGCAATGGACATTTATATAACATTCTAATATGAACACTATTACATATGGAGTCACGAGCCGAGCCAGTGCACTGGGCCAATACAAAGCATATTTTTTAAAAACAATTAGACGAAATTTTTACCGTAAATATTAAGGCATTTTTTTAAGTTTGGGTGAACTAAGGCCTAGGTTGGCCCTTCCCTAACTCTGCCTCTGCCCTCTGGTATGGACTATGAACTATATTGAAATGAGTTTTTTTTTGTGTTTTTTTTGTTCTTTCGTCTTTTCTTTATTCTTGTTACCTTAATTCCACCATGCATCACTATATTTGTCTAAGTACGTCCACTCATAATTTCATAAACTATGGGGATTGTGATAAAAAGACTAGGAAAAAATTAAATTTAAAAAAATCTAGGAAACGAAAGGAAGAAAAAATTACATAATCTTTATACGAAGAGGGATAGATGTGAGAAACATTATCTGAAAAACGGAAAAAAAGATGAAATTTAGAGCGAAAAATTGTCTATATTCACTAACATGTCCAAAACAAGCGAAAAAAGGAGTGAAAAGGTACAAAGAAAAAACATACTACTTTTTAGGAAGATGAGAAGGGAAAAAGAGAAGAAAAGGGACATTTAAAGAAAATAAAAATTGAAATCAAAATAAATAAGATACAAACGAGTAATGTGGGATAATAGCTTAGTCTTGAAAAGAGAATAACTGAATAGTAATACATAGAATAGGAAGAAGTAAAAATGGGGAGGAGGAAGAAAACAAAAAAAAACTATGAAGAAAAAAGAAAGCAAAAACATAAACAGATTAAATAAATGAAATACGGAATATATAATAAGAAGATGAAAAATGAAAAAAATGTGGGGCTATTTTGAGCGCTAGGCTATTGATATAAGGTTTTCAAAGAAAATGCAAAAAAACTGATAGAGGACATAAACAGATCGGGGCCCTAGATGAATGCAAAGGTGAGATTACGTGAAATCATTATCAGAAAACCAATCAAATGTGAAAATATTGTTGTCAATTTTTCCTAGAATTAGTTATTTCTCAAAACCAGAAGTAAATGCAAACACCTATTCAATCATTCCTTGACAAGTAATAGAACTGTATATACTTAATGAATCAGAAAAGTCAAATAGAATTGATTACAAGTTGAAATTCAAATTAGATAATGTAAAAAATGACTAAAAAAGTGTGTAGTAACTAACTAAAGAGCAAAACTAGATAGAAAAGAAGCTTCTAAGTAAGGATATACAGCCCGAAAATTCTTAATATAGTGGTATCCATTCCAGTGCTCGGAGGTAGGCGACGGTCCATGATATGGTACTGATTGCAATGAGTCAGTGTCCAAGTTGTAAAGAAATACCATACCCTGTATATGTCCTTGAAAACGAATTAGAGCAACAGGAGCCTTCTTGTTCTTAATAGGAAGCAACCCTTCTAAGAAAATACCCGGCGCTGACAACAAGACTAACTCGCTCCAGAAACAATCTCGACTAATTACGTACTTCAGTACCCATTCTTGATTACTTAACACAATAGACCGGCCATCTTCATTGCCATTTTGGAGCATAAAAACTCTCATGGTTTCGTGTTCCATGCACCCGAACCATAGCGTGTCACCGTCGTCGATGGATGACCTCGTCATAGCTGAGAAGGTGTGATTGTCATTAATAATTCCGTCGTAGCCACGGATGTGGATGACCTCTTCAGGGCCGGGACGGTAAAGTGCTAGTGTTAATTTGTCAGAGTATATGTACCAGTGGAAAACACTGTTCATGACTAAGGGAAATTTAAGAAACACTGAGTGAGGGTCGCCGGTGGTGATCACTTTCGGTTTGGTGGGGGCCCATAAGCCGGTGTTGGAAGAGTAAGTCACGATCCGCAAAGAATCCTTTTCGCGTTGAACGAATAGACAATCAGTTCGGATGACAATGTACTTGGCTGACAGTTCACTTTCGTTGTCTTCACACATTAACCCGATGGAAACGTATCTATTTACGGGCAGCGACGGTGGAGGAGGTAAGGAGACCGATCTTTTCGTGAAGGGGTTCACAACGCGGAACTCGCCAAGGAGTCTAGTGTCAGGCTGATAGTGAGTATCGCAGCAGAGGATCAAACCATTAGAAGAATTGATGAACAACCCTAGTTTTTGTTCTTGAGGCTTGCATTCGATTATTCTACCGCTGGGAATATCAAGAGGGAGTATCTTTATCACAGATTTCAGATTTGATTTCGGATGTTGGGAGGATAGACTGGGCAGCGTAGAATCACAAAAGCCGAACAACATCCCAAGACCGCCGCCAGGCCGCTGCTGTCTGCCGTATCTCTGGATGAAAAATGGGTGAGAAATCAAATCGTTCCATGATTTCGATACGGCCCTGAATCTGTAAACTGATTTCGGAGGCAAACAGACTAGAATTCGTGCGACTATTTGCTCATCCATGGCAGATCTGTTTGCGACTTGCAATAACGAATGGAATTGTTGATCCTTTTTTGGTTTGCTAAAAACAGACTAGAATTCAGAAAATTAATAGCAACACAACAAAGTGGAAGTGTTGAGTGTTGAGACATGAGAATCTCCAAACCATAGCAATACTAGGGCGAATTAAAATGGGGCGAAACAGGGAAAACTCCTATTGGCTTCTGCATACCATAGTGGGCGTTTATGGGCCTATCGTTTATACTTTATAAGATACGGGGAATTTTGTACGAGTAATCGCCGAGTCAAAATATATTTTTTTTTCGAAAAAGAGTCAAAAATTATAGAGGTAATTACCTAAATGAGAATAAATAAATCTTTAATTGCCAAAATAGGACTAAAGTTTAAAAATTCCTAAAATAGGAGTTATTATTTGTAATTGGACAAAAACACTCTTGAAGCTTAGAAATCATACTGCCACCAACCACAACACCGAACCACCGATGTCGGTCGCCGCCGCTCGTCGGACGTCTCTGCCACCTCAAAAAACGGCCACCGTTGTAGATCTGACCGCCACCGTCGCAGCTAATCTGGAATCTCCCACTGCAAATCTGGCCTTTTTCGTTTCAGATCTGGCCGTTCCCGGCATGAATGTCAACATTTTTATTAAAATGCCAAAATGAATCAAGAATGCCATTTTAATGGCATTTTCAAAGGAAAATACTAAATTTTTGTAAAATAAGAATGTCATTTTGATGGCATTTACAGTGTTGAACTTGGTATTTTTTACCAATAAAAGAAGAAATCGAGCATCTGCAACGAAATATAAGAGGGAGAGAACTAGAGAAGAGGGGCGGAAGGAAAGAACCTACCTTCAAAGAAGAGAAGATCTCCGACGGCGACAACGGCGGTGATGGCTATGGGCAGTGGCAGAGGACTTCACGTCAGCGGCGGGGGCTCAAAGCTTTGGTCAGCGGCGAAGGGGAAGGGAGAAGAAGGAGTGTGCGCAGGAGGGAGGAGACGCATGGGAGAAAAAGAATGGTGAGGAAAGATGGAAAGAGAAAAAACAGGGGTAAATGGGTAAACCAGTCCCATTTAAGGAAAAAATATATGTTTAGTCCTATTTTAAGAGTTTCGGGAAAAATTTAGTCCCTTTTAGAGCAATAGATCAAAATTATATTACTTTCGTTTTCTTTTAATTACATCCTTGAACTTTTTGCACTATTTACATAATCTACTTTGACTATATTTTATTTATTAATATATAATAAATTAATTTTTTTAAAAAAATATATTTAAATCCTCTCTTTTTAAATTTTCAAAATCTGAATTTTTAAATTTTTTTTAACTAATAAGGAACGAAAGATATTAATGGTCAAACTTCTGCATTGGCAAACATAAAAAGTAGACCGTTGCAATTAAAAAAGAACGGAAGAAGTATAAAGTAAGAATAAGTAATACGGGGTAAAGAATAATAATAATAATAGTAATAATAATAATAATTAATAAGAGTAACAAATAGTTTCTAAGGATATTCCATTTGACGTTTCATCTCTGTTATGAACTAATTAAATGGTTGAGAAAATTTCCGAAATAGGACTAAAAACGTTTGAAAATTCCAAAATATGACTCCCATATTTTTATTCCCTAAATAAGATTAATTACTGTCAAATTTGGAAAATAGTGACATGTTTGTAGTGTGGTAATGTCAAAACATAGCAGTAATTAGTCTTATTTCGGAAATAAAAACATGATAGTCCTATTTTGTAATAGATAAACATATTTACTTCTATTTAGGCATATTTCCCTAAATATTTCAATGTGTGGAGCCTACATTATGTCAAATGTTAGTTATTTAACATTACCCCTCCTACTTTATTTCTTCCTTTTCCATTATAGCTGATCCATATCCTTTTGTTTGGAACTAGTGAAATGCTTCATAATATAGAAAATAGAATTTTTGTTAACCAATAACAGGGTGACATATATGTTAATAGTTTGTAATCCTGTTTTACTGAATAAAATAATAAATTTAAATATTTAATCAAAATTGGATTCCTTAATTATATGTGTCACCGGCTATTATGTAAATTTGCATTTCCCATAATGCACATTCAAACTCAAATTTTACTATAGATATTATATATCATTGATTTATAGCTCAATTTTTACAATAGTTTTTTTATATGCAATTCAGTGTCATATGAAAGATCATAAAATTTTAAGATTTTTGATATTTTTTGTTAAAGTTGGAGTGATGCATCTAATGAGTTGATTACATTAAAATGAATAGAAGTGATGCACTGAGTGAACAACAGTTATGCACGAAGGCAGTAATGCACCAAGTGAACTTAGATTAATTAAATGATTTCATAATGGTGATAATGGAATTTTAATTAACCAATAAGAGACTCACACATCATTGATTCATAATTCAGTTTTATTATATAAAAATAATTCTTTTTATTTTTATGTATCCGGTATTGGTTTAATATGAAAGATGATAAAACTAATGATTTTGGATACATAGCTTATAAAACAATTGAGTATAAAAAAGAAAATAATTTCTCCGCCACTTTGTCTAAATAAGTTGGCATGATTAAAGTGAATAACAGTGATGCACCGAGTAAATAGTAGTGAAGAGCCGAGTGAACTTGAATTAATTAAATGCTATAGTAGTACTGTAGTAGTGATAATAGAGTTTATTAACTAATAAGAAAAAGTCACATTACTGATTTTTGACTCAATTTTATTATATAAAATAATAATATTTTTATTTTTATATATGCAATATTGATGCCATGTGAAAGATCATAACAATTTATGAATTTTGATATAATTTTCGTAAAGATTGGAGTACAAAGAAAAAGTTATAACACATGAAAAGAGATTTTTCTCCTTCACTTTCTCCAAATGAGTTGGCGTGATTAGCATGAATAACACTTATGCACCGGGTAAATACCACAGATGCATCGAGTAAACTTGGATTAATTAAATGTTTTAGTAGTAATGATAATAATTTTTTTATTAACCAATAATAGACTAACACCTCATTGATTTTTAACCCAAATCCATTGTATAAAATAACGTTTTTATTCTTATATAAGGAATATTGGTGTCATATAGAACATCATAAAACATTATAAATTTTGATGTGTTTTTTTTTGTAAAAATTGGAGTACAAATAAATAGGTTATAATATATTAAAAAAGAGACATTTTCTTCTTCCTTTTCTCCAAATGAGCAGTGATACATGTACTGAATAGCAGGGATGAACCAAGTCAACTTATATGAATTAAATGTTTTAGTTGTAGTGATAATAGAATATTTATAAATCAATAGAATTTTTAACTCGGTTTTGCTATGTAAAATACTACCTTCATGTCATTCAACAGTTCTCGTCCAGTATTCTCTGATCAACCTAAAGTCTTCTAATCTGTTACTTTATATATCCAACTTTTATCAAATTTGAGTTTTTCTTTTAACACTTTCTATGTAGGATTATTCTGCGATTAATGTGAGATTATTCTACGATTACGCAAATGTCAAAAAAATATCAAATGTGGGATCATTCTCAATGGAGCTTAATAATTCACCCCTTCCCTCAATTTCAAAAACATCTTGAGTCCAAGTCTCACAAGTGTCTATAGCAAAAAAGTGATTTTCGGTTGGATATTTTATGGGGTCATAAATATTAAATTCAACTTTTTCACCATCAAACTTCATGATTAATACTCAACTAAACACATCTATTTTTGCTTTAGCCGTTTTCAAAAGGGTCTTCCTAAAAGAATTGGGACTGCGTTTCTTAATTTAAAGGGAAGTTTTGGAATTGTTTGATTTTGATTAATTAAACACTAAGTTGAATGACTTATATGAGTTTTAATTCAAAGAGATAAAGAACTTGGTTTTGCTTCTTTCCATTTGTTGAGATGTTAGTCGATCCCGGTTATGTTTTTAACTATCTTACTCTCGAATACTCAATCAAAGAGTATATCCAATGCGACCGGTAGGATTTCTAATGTTCTACCTCATGCACACTTCTTCAAATAGTGTGTTAGGCCGGCCCGTACGTGACCCTTATGGGTCGGGCTAGGCTTTTTGACAAACGGGATGGGTAGGCCCTACGGCCTCATGAGCCCACATGCTAAACAGTTATCCCTATTCCTAATGCTATAAAAGAGCTACCGGGTCACAAACCCGTTTGATACAATTTACAAAAAAGAAAAGATTAATACCACAATTGGGAAAATACAAAAAAAATGTGAGCGTGAATTTCAAAATAGAATTATTATGTTTTTATTATTCAAATAGAAGTTATTATTGTCACGTTTTAATATTATCGGCCCATGTTTTAAACATGACAATATTTTTCAACCTTCACAATAAATACTCATACTTAGTGAATAAATGTATAGTAATCCTATGTCACAATTCTAAAACATTTGTACTTCTATATATCTGGGGAATTTTCCCATACAAAAACAATTAAACCTAAATTGGTTGACTCCAACTAAATTGGCGTATCTTCATGCAAATAAGAAGAAACCTAATACTCCGTAATAAATAAATGATTTTCAGAAAATAACAATAAGCATGGAGTGATGGAACGGATGTTTTGGTTGTGGTTCATAGTATTTCCAAGCCAGGAGGTTCCTCTTACTTGCAGTGAGTTGCAACTGGTTCTAGATCATATTCATTCTATCCTTGAAAATAATAGTCAGTTTATGATTTTTTGGTAAACAATCTGCGAATCTTGTTCCTCATGCTTTAGCTAAGGTAGGCGGTTCCATTTTTTTTACTGTTGCTCTGTATTTTAGCAAGCTCCGAATTGGATTGTAAACTTACTTCACAATGATTTACTCGAGTAATGAGATTACACGTTTACTATATAAAAAAAAAATGATTGTCCTAAATAGGACTAAAATATGCTCAAAACTCCCAAATATAACATAGAATGTATTTATTTGGACAGATTTCAATCTCAGACCAAACTTAAACTGTGTAAAAAAATGTGTTAGGATTTTCAAAAATATTCTTTGTACGATTCAATCTAACCAAATGTCTTGGCTCTGCCCCTGTTTCTCTGGGACAATCTTCTGTGTTTCAATTCCAGATGATATTTTTAAAACCCGGCCTTTAATTATATTTTTTTCTCGAAAGACTCGAATGTTATATTGTGCTTAGCTTCTCGGTCCATCTATGGCAGTACCCTTATGGCCTTATGTTCCACCTCCTCCAGAAACACTGAGGTAAATCATATATTGTGCTTAACTTTGATAGCTCATTATTATTATTTGGGAAAGTTCCTGAAACAGGACTAAAACAGTTTCAAAATTCCAAAATAGGACTGTCATGTTTTTTATCCCAAAATAAGACTAATTACTGTCATGTTTAGAAAATACTACCATTTTTGAAGTCTGGTACTGCCAAAACATGGTAGTCCTATTTTGAGAATAAAAACATGACAACACTATTTTGGAATTTTCAAACTGTTTTAGTACTATTTCGGGTAATGTTCTCTTGTTTCAGATAAGAGGACCGATATTGAAGTGAATGAGCATATATATAACCATTCCCTAACAATTTTGAAGTTGGTGATGCTAATTAAATTTTGTATGAAGTTCGTATTTAAAAACCAGGCTAAAAGCTCTATTTATTATTCGATAAACCACCTACAATCGATTACAAATGGAAACTAAAAAATTGAGAATGAAATGAATTTGTGTTCACAAAGATTACACCAAGATGTACCTATTAAAGAGCAAAAGTTGATAGACAGGAAGGTTCTGAGTAAGGATAGCAACTGCAGGCATTCAACATCAACTGCAGGCAGTCAAGAGGCCGTCCAGGAACGGATAGCAAGCTTTCAGTGTCCATGTTGTAGAGAAAGATCCTCTTTTGAAAGCGAATTACAGCAACAGGAGCCTTGTTAGGAATCGGAAGGAAAGCTTCCAAGATAATCCCCTTAGTACTCAAACTGGTTTTGATCCCGAGTGAACCACCACTTATAACATACATCAAATTCCATTCTTCACTGCCATTTGGGAGCATGAAAACTCTCATGCTTTCGCTGCCTATGCACCCGAACCATAAGACGTCCCCGTCGTCAATGGATGACCTTGTCATGGTTGTGTGTACGAAACCGTTATTTTCAATTCCGCCGTACCTGCGGATCTCTATGACTTGTCCATGGTCGGGACGGTAAAGTGCTAGCGTTAATTCGCCAGAGTAGTTGTACCAGTGGAAAACACCTTTCATTGCTAAAACAGACAGGGCAGTACCTTGAAAAACACAGGGGACGTAGACTCCGGGGGCGGCGATCACCGTCGGGTGTGAGGCGGTCCAAACGCCCGTCTCTGAAGAGTAAGTCACGATCCGCACATCATCCTTTTCGGCTAGGCGGCCAAACCCACCACAATAATAAGCTCGGATGACGACGTACTTGGCTGCCAGTTCCCTTTTGTTCTCTTCGCACATCAGCCCGACTGTTGGGTGTCTAATTGCTGACGGTGGTGGTGGCGGCGGCGGCGGTAGGAAGACCGATCTTTGTGTGAAGGGGTTCAAAACATGGTACTCGTCTGGCCCAGGACCACCCCAGAGGATCAAACCATTAGAGGAATTTATAAATGTGCCGCGTTCTAGTTCTCCAGACTGGTATTCAATTTTTTTATAGCCGGAAATATCAAGAGGGATTATCTTCAGCATACATGTCTTCTTCGTTTTCTCTGTTCTTTTCGTTGTCTTTGTAGGCGTCCGGAAAAAAGCTAGCAACCCGAAACGGCCGCCGCGCCGCTCACTGTCATATCTCTCGATGAAAAAGGGATCGGAGATCAAATCATTCCATGATTTCGATACGACTCTAAATCTGAAAACTGATTTCGGAGCCAAACAGACCAGAATTCGTGTGACTATTTGATCATCCATGGCAGCTTGTAAGAATTGTTTGTGGAAGATTTTCGTCAATATATACACTCCTCTAGTTTGTTCGGTTGAGACTCCTAATGCTATACAAGAGCTGATGAAGTCACAAACCCGCTTGCTACACGCTACAAATAAGGAAAAGATTAATACCACAATTGGAAAAATATAAAAAAGAATCGCTAAAGTGGATTGTGATTCCAAAATTCATCATTATTATATAATCATTTTTATGTTTTTTCCTTTTAGTAAATTGCCCTTAATAGAACTAAATAAGTTTTTGCCCTAAATAGAGTCATTATTGTCATAGTTGAAATTTAATGCTTTTAATAATAGTGATTACTGTCATTTTGAATATCTAGAAGATGATACTCGTAGTAAATACTGTCATGTTACTCTTTTTTCGATAAAAAGACATAATAGTCCTACTTTTGTTATACAAATTTATTGGTTACTGCAATTTTTAGTTTATTTAAATTTTAACGTGGTTTATAAAAAGTATGGGTCCTGCGGTTCGATCATCCAGATTTCAGATCATCATTGCAAGAGGTGGATTGTCCAGATCGATCGACAAGAAACGAAGCTCCAGGTTCTCAACTTTCAAGAGCTGAATCGCGAGAATAGATAGATAGATCATCATGATTCAAAAGTTTAGAACTAGGAACTTCAATCGGTTGATGGATTCACGTAGATCATAGGTGATTTTGCTCAAGACCAGAAAACAAAAAACCAAAGGATGGAAATAAACGTTCGCTAAAATTCTCTATTTGATCTATACCGTCATCACCAAATTCTTTATTAAAGAATACCTTTACTTTTGATTTCAAAATTCAACTGTTAATGATAATCATGTGATATTTTGAGCGATTATTTTTATACTTTTCTATCGTTACATATAAAACAAGCATTTACCAATTTTATAATGTGCTTTGTGTTAAAATCGGTTGAGCTTTATTGTTAAGAAAGATTTATCCAAAGTTAATTGTTATAAAAGTGTTACATATGTGAGTTATAAAAATGATTTTCATGTTACACACACATAGATATATATATATATATATATATATATATATATATATATATATATATATATATATATATATAGAGAGAGAGAGAGAGAGAGAGAGTAGTGATCCTGTCAGGCAGGCCTGACAGGACTCATCGTCCGGACAAGGACTTTTGGGGTCCTTCTCGGTGCAATTTTTCAATGAAATATTTTGAGCATGTTCTACATCAAGCCTAGTTTATTCATACCAAATTTCAGCTAAAAATTCAATTGGGAATGAAATCAAATAAAATGTTGAAACAAACTGCGTTGTTTAGATATAGATATATATATATATATATAACACTTTTAATAAAGAATTTATTTGAAACAAATTCTATTTTTTGAGAGAGAGTAGCGTTCATGTCCAGCCGGCTTGACGGGGAACCGCCGTCCGGCCGGGGCAATTGAGACCCTTTTTGGTGGAATTTTAATTTTGATGAAATTGTTTTAGCATTTTTTTTCATCAAGTCAAGTTTACGACCACTAAATTTTAGGTAAACATGCTTTCGGGAAAGAAATTAAATAAATTATTTAAGAACATTGCACTTTATATATATAATAGCAGCACAGTGTTTTTCAATTACACATTTGACTATCTTTTTGATTAAATTTTTAGCTAAACTTTCGTAGTCATAAACTAGACTTGATGAAAAACATGTTCAACAAATTTCATCAACAATTTCCATATACATATGGATCAGTTCTAATACAAAAAGGTCTTCCCAAGAATAGTCAGAAGAGATATATCTAAGCACTTAATTACTTAAAAATTGACAGAATAGATAAAAACAATGTGTGGAAAAATGCTACATCCTAATGTGTAATACTAAATAGTAAAAGTGCATATGCGATATGTAGAAACACACAATAACCTTGTTAAAAGCTATCACGAAACTATTTTTATACACATTTATCACTTCATTTCTCAAAAAGTTTCTATTAATTACACTTTTGCTACAACGTTTTACACTTCAAAATTGATCTAACCCACTTCTTCTCTCATTTTAGTGGCTAAGATTACATCTCAATTTTCATATAATAAGGAGTTTTGTATTTGAACCTCCATTTATGTGTGAGTGTGTGCATGTGTGCATATCGCCCATCACACCATGCTTGTATGTAATGGTCTCTAGTCAACGACCTCATCAAAGGATTCTCCCAAAGGGTTGCCTTGTTCAGGGTTTGCTAAAGAGATTGGATCCGCGGGCAAATTTGCATGTGGCACCTCGGGTTAAAGGACTTAGGGACTACACCTCGGCTAATGACCAAAAAACACAAAAATGAGCTCATCTTCAGCCTAATGGGAACACCTATACCTCGGCCGAACCCAAATAAATCAAAATCAACAAAGAACAAGATGCCAATAAAAAATGTCCAACTCACTCTTACCTCAACACCTCTCACCTTGGAGAGTGGGGGACTCCTGACAAAGTATATAGGCTCGAGCCCATGATTCACATACTCATGGATAGATTTATCACCCTGCAAAATGCAGACTGCCCACCTCGATGAGCCCATCGGCCAGATGAGACCCGAAAATATATATGAAAGACACTAGGGCACAAGGAAATCAGAGTACAAGTGACTAGATCAACACAGCCCGCAAAGGCCCCCTCGGCCTAGGCACCTCGTTCTAGAACATCTAGGAAATAACATTCATATTATTGTATATTTATCAGAATAGTTTACCTCCTGTATTTACCACTCAGTGGTCCACTATAGTAATTTCCCCTGCAGGCCCAAGCTTCAGAGTCCAACCCATATTTATCCTGTAAATACCGCACTCTAGGTAGGTGTAAGGGGTTCTAAAAAAATCACGAATACCATATATTTCTCTCTCTCTCTCTCTTACCCATAGCTCTCTCCTCTATCTACAATACCACTAACGGTTTACTGGTGAGCTGTTAGTAGTGTTTGTTATTTAAACTGTTTTAAGTTTAAAGTGTTTCGTATATACGATTTCGTACTTAGACGTTATCCTAATCGAATTTGAATTTCATGTCTTAAGACCTTTAATGGCACAAGGAGCAATAATGTACTGAGATTGACGAATACCATGTTTGATTCCCTAGAACATTATGTGGAAGCCTCTAGAACATTTTGAAGATTTGTGGAGATCTCTAGACTCCTCATTTCTATGAGAACATGGACGTAGTCAGATGAGAAATGAAGGTTGGGGTGAGCCGATACAAAGAATTTTTTATATAAATTTTTACGCATAAACTTTCACACTAAAAATACAAAGATTTTTTAAAATTTCAGGTCGGCCGAGCCCTGATTGCCCCCCCCCCCCCCCCTCGTACCTCCACCCGATTATGACAACCTTGAGGAGATCGAGTTATTGAGTGTGTGAACTCTGAAAGTGAAAGTCTTCCCGAGAGAGGAGATCGAGTGAGAGCCTTTTGTGAGATAAGAAGGCTCAAAGATATCTCATGATGAGTGTGAGCTAGTGATGAGCATTCTTAAGGGTGAGAGGAGACAGTCTAATAAGGCTTCTCATAAGTGCATGTGATCGAGTTAGGTATAGTAAAGTAGTCTCATATACAAAGAGTGAAGTAAGCTACCCGTTTATTTGTAAATTATTTCTCATACATTTCAATAGAAAATACAAAGTGATATTATCATATTGAGTCTTTGTATAATATATGAGTGTGTGAGTGAGTTCACAAGAGTAGTATGAGCTCATGATCCCAAAAGGCCAGAGGTCATTTTTTCTAACATGAAGTTATCATGCAATATTGTGAAGATATGATAACTTAATGATTGGTTTACCCAAGTCATAGACACGAGTCAAGTAGTATGTGATGAACCATAATTTGGCTAATGAATCATGTTTTTATTATTTTTTTTATATTTTGAGCAGATACACAATAATTCTTAACCTTCGGTATGCCCCCCTTTGAAAATTTATTGGCTCCACCACTGATCGCGATATTTTTGTGTTATGATAAAACCAAGTATAATTTAATAAAGGAAAATGCTTAGTGTACATGAGTTGTACACAAAATGTACACAAAACCCTCCTAGTTGTCTGTGTATACAAGCAATTCATTTAGAAAAAGGCAGAATTTGATACCCAATTGCCTGTGTACACAGGCAATGTACACATTTTGTGTACATCTTGTGTACATCAAGCATGACCCTTTAATAAAATGGAGGTGGGAGTGATTGGATGTTATTATTTCACTATAATTTTGAATCATGTGTTGCACAATATGTAGTTCATAATTTTGTTTTCTTTTATATCGAAACTTCCTCTATTCTAAAATAATTGCAACATGTTAAATTTTCACATTATTCACATGCCTTAATTTAACTATATTTTATTCATTGATATATTGCGAACAATGTTTAAAAAAATATTATTAAACTCCTCTACATATAAAGTTTCAAAATCTGAATTTTCTAAATTCTTTACTAATAGAGAATGTAATATAGTAATGGTCAATGTTATGTGTTGACAAACGTGAGAATGAAAATGTTTTAACTACAACAACAATGAAAGAAGTATAGAAAGTAATAATGGTAATAATTAAACCTCATAGGTTGTGAACGAAACAAAATTTGACATTGGTGGTGATAGAGTATTGATAGAGTATATCAAGAGAGAAGTGAGAGCTAGAGAGAGAAGTGCAATAATATGCTTCAATAGAATGATTTTGTAACCCCTATAACTACTCCCAAGGGGAGTATTTATAGAGAAAATTAGGGCTGGGCTCCCAAGTCTTGGGCTTGGGAGGCCCCTTTACAACTGGACCGCTACTGGGCCGAATACAAAGCCACTAATGGGCTGTACAAATGAATAAGTATAAAATCCGGTTCTGTGAGGTCTTCGTGGCCGACGAGGGCGTGGCCGACGAGGGCACGGCCGACGATGGCACGGCCGATGAGGGCACCCGGGTTCTTTGGGCTCAGGACCATAATCTGAGTTGGCCCCTTTTTGGCCGACGGGGGCGTCTTGGCCGACGAGGGTGCCACTCTGTGTCTTGTGCTTTATGTTCTTCCGAGTATGTGGGTCCGGGGGCTCAGACCCATATAC